CATTAGCCCGGCTGAAGCGGCGGTCCGGCGCCACCTCCGGCTCCGCTCTCCTCGCCCAGCTCCCCGCCGGCCCCTCGGCTGTGGGGAGCGGGAGCGCTCCCCATGATCTAGAAGTGGCATTGCTGTCTTGATTCGGTAGTGCGTGGAGTTTTACACGTATTTGCACAGAGACGTTCCATGCTGGGCAATTTCTGGATGAACAGTGGGGTTAGATCCACAAGCAACAAGTATATTTTTTTTTTTTGCCTATAAAAAATTCCTTAATATTACATCAGAAATTAGAGATAAAACATGGCGTGAGGATACAAGGGTAGTTCAGGAAGTGCTTTAATGTTCTTCATCAAGAAGGACACTTTTCCTCATTATACAACATCAGAGAACAGGTTGCATACACTATAGGTGTTTCCCTTTTCCAAAGCCCTAAAGTGTTTGGCCATTGTTGAAGGCCTCCTACAGATCCATAGCGATGGATGTGTCAGCCCCAGCTGACTGAATTCATTACCAATTTAACATATTTTGGAGTAGCTACGCATTCTATTGAAAACTGATTTTAATTTCCTCATAGCACATCCATTTTTAAAGTACTGTCAGAATACTGTAGAGCACCGTTTTGCAACCTAGATTGTTCACAAACCTTTCCTGTCAGCTATTTCCCAGGCTTTAGGTGAAGCCATTTCCAAAATATAATTAAGTGTGTAGAGGCAGGTCCCAAGCCAAGGATAAGTTGAGGCTATTGTACAGGGTGCACATCCTTTCCTGTCAACAGTATAATCCAAACCAGAAGTGGCTGACTGCCTACACTGTGTGGTGTAGTTAGTATTGCATCAGCTGAATGGTATTTGAAACTTTATACCATAAGAATATCAAGTCAAAGCTTTTTAGAAAAATCTTGAAGGTTTCAGGACTTCACAAACATTATTTTAATTTTCTCATGAACATCATTGTATTCATACGATGAAGAATCAGTGAGACTCAGAAGCTTTATTAAGTTAAACTATGTAAATTTTTATTTATTTATTTCTCATGTATATGTATATCCTGTCTGATTCATTGTGGCAGATCTGTAGAAAATCCCACAGTTCCCCAAGAATGTGACCAACTTAATTCACTGTTAGGTTAAACAGATTATTCTTGCCTGGATTTGAATATGGTGGGTCTACATTCCCTTTTTGCATGTCTTCTGCGTGTTCTAGAGGTCCTCACTTACAGGAGGAAGCTTTTTTCTTTTAATAGATTTACCTTAACTGCTGTAAACCTTTTGTAACACTTAGCTGCTGTGGAATTCAGGGGTGCTGCAGTATAATATCACCTATGAAAGAAATCCAGAGCACTGAGGCTGCCATGAAGACCAGTGGAGTTGATTTATTAACTTCAGTTTTACAGATGAAGAAGGGATAAGAAAAGGAATTTTTACAAGATTACACTGGAAACTGGTAAAATAGGGGTAGAAATGGGGTATTCCGATTCTTGGTCATTGGCTATAATCCCTAGATGACACTGACATTTGCAAACAAGCATGATACAGTGAGCAGACACTATGGGCAATTAGCTGCTCAGATTACAGTGCTCTTCTGGTCATTGATCAGTAAAGGAGCAGTTTTGCAAATCAATGTTATTTTCCCTGCAGACTACAGAAATCCATTTGTGGAGATTCACCCGGAACATCCCGAAATAATCTACATTTTAGATGCTAACAGAACGGTTGTTATCCCCTGCCGAGTTACCTTGCCAGATATCAAACCTAAGCTTACCCAGGTAAGTGACTGTTTCAGAGAAACTCAGTCAATTCAGAGGTCTGGGCTGCCAACACAATGAGTAAATATACAAAACAAAATGTATGAAGCTAGGTAAATTTCAGGGGAAAAAAAAAAGCAAAGATACTGAATATCCAGAAGCACAGTCCTGCTCTTCCCATGTATTACTACTGAACTGTGTACAAGAGTGTTTTGGTGATTAGGCTGAGTTTATCACATATTTTTCTCATCTTGTGGCTTGATGTTCCCCCATCAATTGGCAAAGATAGATGAAAATGCACTATATTTTTTCAAAAGTCTTTGTATAACACCTGGTTATTATCTATCCTCATGAAAGCTTCTCTCTTTTATACCTTGAACCTCCTCAAACAGTTGCCCATTTTTGCTTGATTTCATAAATTTAAAACAAGTTTCAGCTTTGAGAATAAATGGCTACAGCATCCACCCCTTTGGCAGCTGTTACATCTGAATGTCAAGGTTACAGAACAGTCTGTGGAGGCCAAGGCCATTTTGTATAATAAAAATGGAAATTTAAGGTCTGGGTCTTCCTCAATTGATGGAGATCTAGTCACTTATATAAAGGGCTTTAGAATTGCTCTATAAAGAAGCCTATCATGGAGTGAGGAACAGAACATAGGTCTCCTGGCTCCAATCTTGCCTTTTACCTAATAGGTTATGTGCCTTTCCACTCCCCAGCTAGGCTGCCTGCTTGAGCTGTCCTAATGGGAACCAGAGCTCATCCTCTGCCTTGGCTCTGTTTCCACAGCCTGTCTGGATAGGCTGTGAGAGATGAGCTTGTTCTGCTGGATATGGTGTGATAGCAGAGCACACACAGACAGGCTGATGCTGTGCTGGTAGAGGGGTCTGAGAACCTCTGCTCCTCTTTGCTGTTAGATGTCTTAATTGTTGGATGTCTCCTCCTCCTGGGAGACAGGACTTGAAATCACAGAGGCCCGAGACAGTGCTCCGGCTCCTGCTGAGACCAATGGCAAATTTCCAGTAGACGTGCAGAGGGACAGCACTGGACTTATTGCTTTAGCAGATCTCTATTTTTAAGTTTTGTTAGTAGGGATTAAAGGGGGTGGGGGTGGAAATAAGGCTTCTCTCCAGTTATAGCTTATCACTTTAGCCTGGCTAAGTGTTATCACCTTCTCCTCCTTGGCTATAAAAATGAAACATCTCATCTTATTTTAGCCTACTTCAACCAAATTCATTGCTGGAGTAATGCTGCTGACTTCAGCACAGACACATGAGCCTAAATGTGGCCTTGGCACCTTGCAAGGTGCAGACCTCCACATTTATCCCCTTATTTATAGGAAGCCCTGCTCTCCCTGCTTGCCAGCTAAATTCTCTCCTGGTAATTTCTTCAAACACAAACTGAAGTCCTTTACCTTGCTGCAAGCTGCTGGTGGAATGAAATCTCCACTGAAATCTCCCTTTTGAATTATGAAGAAAATTGTCCCTAAAAAGATTTTTCCCCTTCAAGAAAGAGCAGCTGGATTGCAGGGCAGGGATGTTGTTGTTGAGTGCAGCTCCCCAAAGGAACCCCTCTGAGGCCGTGAGCTGGAGAGACATTACTACTCAAGGGAGTAGCTCTGGGAGGCGTGTGTTGGCTTTGGGCGCTGCCAGCCCTGGGCTCCATCTATGGAAAGTCACCGCTTGTTTTACCCTGTCTGGGAATTTCATAGCGCCCTGTGGAGCCAAGGTGGCGGCTTCCTGTGCGAAGAGGAAGCAGGGCGGGAGAGGGGTGGAGGTAAGGATGGGGGAGGAGAGGTGAATAAGGCGATCAGACAAATTTAGAACATCCTCTTCTTCCAAATTTAATCTCCAATAGACAACGAACTTCAAAGGGAGGAAAGCCACTGTGATTTCCTTCAAGCAGCATTGACGCTTTTGGTTTGATTGTTTAAATATATATTTTTGAATATTTTATGAAGATGTTTAATATGTGTGCAGTGTTGAAAAGGGCCTCCTGAGTAGGCTTATTTTTTCTTTCCCCTTCCCACAGCCATCAGGGAGCAGAGCTGCCAAACCATGAAGTTCAGCTTTATCACATTTTATTATTCTTGTAGAAAAAGTACTTTTTTCCACTGTAAATTAAGTTCCTTATGTTACCATTATACTTTAAAATCATTGCACTCTCTGGCCTTTAAATATGTATGGGGAAAGGTACCTCTTGCTAATACTAAACAGCTCCCAGCTAATGCTACATATCATCTTTGTTATTAATAAACCCATGTTAAGACACACAATTCAAACTTTTAATTTTGCTTAACATGATTTTAATTCTGGGCAAAAAAATAATTTTAAGTCTTGTCAGATCTGTTTACTCACTGATCTGGTTCAGTGTGCATTTGCCATTTACAACTTTGACCTCCATGGGTGTTAAAGCATGATTAAGCCTCAGGTATCAGATCTCTTTCTGTAATTTTTCTGAATTTTCCTAATGGCATTGAACAGAGATGCCACAGCTTGATTACTTTGAAAGTATTTACATGAAACCCATGTTTCCTATTACTGTCAGAAGAGAACTGCTGTTCTGAAAGAAAGCAACTGTCTTACTGTGCCTCCTCCCCCACAGCACCGTCACCAGTCACTGACCCATGGTCATAATTCCTTTGTCTTTGGTCTGTGCTGAAAATATAATAACAAGTGACCTAAACCAATGCCAACCTGATCAATTTTGTATTCATGTGAGAGGTATGAACATCAGCTCTCAAAGTCGGAAGCTGAAATTTCTTTGGAACAGGTGTATTATTTAAACTGAATCTTGTTTAAACCACACTGGCATACAAGAGTACAGTTTGTTTGGAGACAGAAAAATAAAATGCATGCTGCGTGACAACTACCAATTCTATCGGGAAAATTCCCACTTGTAGTCCCTAGTGCAGCCCTTCTCTTGGTTAGCTTCAAAAACTAAAACAAGGTAGTTCTGAAAAGAAAAACATTAACTTGTGTCATGTTTGAGAAGCCAGTATCTGATAAGAAGGAGGGAGAAGCACTGTGGAAGTAAAGTTAGTTATCATGTGGCAACTGCAGGCGGAGTGAGGTTTGCCCAAACCCTTCATTTTTCAGCTAAAAGTGATCTGAGCACTCCTGCAGCACATCCTCAGTCCTAAAGCGTTTTCCTATGTCCTGCTGCAAAAGTCAGACCTACAGCCTGTGTCTCCACTCACCTGCCTGCAAATAGGCTGAAATAGGTGAATTTCAGTCATCTGCTCTTTTACAGACTCCAGAACTATTTTTCTGCATTTAATTTCGTGTATTTCTTGTCTACATTATAATCCAGGATTTTCAAAATGATTGGAAAGTAAATTGCATTTTCTCTAGCAAATAGAGGATTTCTGTGTGTGATGATGATGATGATAATAATAATAATAACAACCTAATAATAATAATAATAATAATAATAATAATAATAATAATAACAACCAACTAATTATTCTCACCACCAAAAGCTAACCTGCTTGACATTGGTGCTGTCTAAGGGTATATTGAGGGTTCATTCTTATTAAATGAATTTTTGCTCTAGTTTATTTTCCACATTGATCTTTTGTATCCTCACTTCTCCCTCATAAGCAGAACTTACAGATACTGCTTTTTCCAGAATGTCAGAACATTACAAGTGGTTATGAATTTAGGACAAAAAAAGTCTATGTTACCAAGTCCCCTTCTTTCTGTCATGCTATGATTTACCATCTCGAGTCATCCAGGCTGCTTCTGTGCTTAGTGGAAATCAATAGGCTGCTTTGAAAGTGTCTCATCCCTTTCTGTGATATAGAGACAATCTGAGGACTAGCCATAGACCATAGTTTATAGATGACTGCCACCAGGTGAGTTACCGACATGAATAAATCTGATTTTTTTGGGTCTAACTTCACACATTTTTAAAATACTGTGAGATCTCAGGAAAACAGGTGGTAGCATTAGGAGAAGCAAATTTTTGTTCTTAAAAACTTTCAAAAATATTACCCTGCAAAATTCATATAAGATAGGCATAATTATTTCCAGTAAAGTGATGAGGAAATAGGACCTACAATGGGTAGCATGGTTTCTTGACTAAGGTCTGAGAGGACTGGGGCTACTGAATCAAAAGCTCCAGTTATGATGTCCAAGTTTTGAATTTCAAAGACAGTCATACCTCAGGGAGGGCTCTTCTATTTGCTTATGTTGATGTTGCTTCAGATATGTGTGGAATGAGACCACCAACCACTCTGAAAGGTCAAATATCTACCCTGCCTCTAAAGCAGAACAGCCTTGGCTGGTTGCCTCTATGGTCTGAGGGGAAAGGGAATGTCTCACAAGCCTCCTATCTGTCTGTTCTCTTTCAGTATCCTCATTCTGTAGATGTGAACTACAAGGGGATGGTGTGGGACCCAAGAAGAGGATTTGTCATCCCCTCTCATTCTTTCGTTTACTCTGGAGTAGTCACATGCACTGCAAATGTCAATGGGAGTGTGTTCACCTCCTATTACCTAACACAGAGATTGGGTGAGTGACTGCTGTGTGCCAAGGAATGACCACAGTATTTCTATTTCATAGCTAAGCCCTTGAGTATTATTTCTTGGTTAGCCTCAATTATATTTGATATGTCTAATTGGTATGTATCTGTAGCAAGTCCAAGCTGGAAGACTAAAAGCAAACTCATTTGTCCCCTTTTTTCCTATTCAATACAACTTGGATTTGATCCACTCCTGGTTTTGAAAAATTACCAAGTGTTGAGGTGGTACAAAATAAGAGTATTTTATGCAAATCCCCCCAAGGCTTTGTTTGCTCGGATTGAGCTATATTTACATTAAAACAACTGCTGGTTTAGGATAAACCAAACAGTAGCTTTCTTTTTGCTTCTGGTCATTAAACAGATAAGATCATGGTATACAAAGCTCATTAAACTGCTAATTCAAACCTTTGCTTTTTTATACAGTTTCTCCTGGTGATTCACTATACCCTTTCCCTTGTATTTACAGTTGAGTTTCAGCTCAGAATTAAAATCTGAATTTGAAGCAACTAAATATTAAATTTTTGAGTGCTGGGGATTTATATGAAGCCAATTATAATTTATTTTTCCTCTGTTTTCAATGTCTGTTCTTTCTTTCCTCATTTATTGTATTTTTGACAGAGGAGAGTTTACTGTGACTGCATTCCTATTAGATCATGGCATCCTTCTATACAATTAGCATTCAGCTTTAAACAACAGGGTTGTAAATTTGTATGGCAGCCAAATAAAACTCCTGTAATTCTCTCTCTCTCTCTCTCTTTTTCTTCATTGTTGGTGTAATTATTTTTTACTATAATCATGAATGCAAAGCTAAAAAAAAACATTAGGTTATCCCCCTCTAGCCCAAAAAGACACAGGCAATACCTTACTCTAGAATGTGTTACTATACAGTGGTCAGATGTGTGTTTGGTATGGGACACCATCAGCATGATACAGGCTTCTTTCAGAGTTGATATATTTAGGGCAACAACAAATATATGACCAATATTTGGGGATCCCATTCAGAAAGGAAAGGTAGCTGGTTGTCAGAGAGCAGGAGAAACATGTTTCATATTTTACAGGAATTAATCCTCTTGCAGATATGCAAATGTTGAGGCACTCAGAAGGATGAGTCACTTTTGAAAAGTGTTTCTGAGAATGGCTGTGGAGCTGAGGAATGAGGGCTGGAGCCAAACATGGCAAACGCGAGAAAAGCAATTAATAAATTACTGTATCCACATATGATCAGTTAGCTTGATCAGATGTTCAGGCGTATATACAACTGACCTAAAGTTTCCATTGTGTGGGCATTTCCAACAATTTACATAGAAATGACAGAAGAAGGTGAGCTGTTTATTTTGGAAAGGGTGAAAGGAACAGATGTTGGAGAGGCAAGGGGGGTGTGGGTTCCATCTTAAATGTCATTGATGTAGAGAGTGCTGTGTGGTTATACCTTTGATTTTTTTCATTTCAGAGGTCAGAGCACAGAACCTGTCTCTGTCAGCAACCCCCAAAGAACTGCTGGTTGGAGAAACTCTCAATTTGAAGTGCACAGCAGAAACTTTCATCAACGGGCGCATTGAGTTTGTATGGACATGTCCCAACGGGAGAGTGAGTTGATGAAAATTCAGTATTCTGCTTTCATGCAGTCCCCTCCTACTCAAAAGAAAGATCTGTTCACAGGGCTGAGTAAACTCTAGCTGCTATCTATTCTGAAATATAGCCAACCATTTGTAAGCCTACAACTGACTGTATTTTTAGTCTGGATGAATCTAAAACTTATCTGACCATACTGAACCTGAAAATTAAACTGGAAATAATCAGGCTAAATATATGTTTGCAAGAAAAGCTGGGAGTGTATGTTTCTTGTTGGGAAGAATAGCTGTCTCATTTCTTCTGGCCTGTTGGTTGATCCCAGCTCACAGTGGCAAGTCTCAAAGGCAGCCGTGAAGGTTGCAAATTGTCAATCTGTTCATCCAGCTTGGCATTTGCTAAGTAAGAAAAAGTGAAACAAAAGCCAATTGTATCTGTTGAAATCCCCACCAAAGAATGAAATTTATATTCTGAGTGTAGGTTCTTGAGCTTTCTGTGGAATGTAATACAAAAAACGCCAAATTTGAAGTAGAAACATGTAAGAGACTGAGCATTTGCTCCTATGTACTAAAACCCTTCAGCTCTCCTCAGGAAAAACAGAGGGAAGAAGGGGTACTTTCCATATCAGTTCATTTATCTGAGATACTACTCACGGTTCTATTTGATGCTTGGATTTAAAATTATTGCGCGCTTTTTTTTTCTTCTTTTTACTTCAGCAAAATATACATTTCAAAGAAGCATCTAAGCCTCTTGGAAAAGTGTAGAATGTGATTCCTAAAAATCGATTATTTTTGTCTTATTTTGTTTACTTAAAGAAAGAATGTCTAATTTTGTTTTAGTGAAGAAACTACAGAAAATAGAACATAGAATTTATAGAAGTGCAAGCAATATGGTGTTACTGAATTTAATTTCTAGAACCCCATATGATGGAAGAGATTTGTTTTTCTATGAACCCTCCTTAGATTTCTAATATTATAAATGTAAAATTTCTTGGTCAAATCTCTGGGATCAAAAATACTATCAGAAGTGATAATGCTTTCTAAAATTCATCAGTAATTTGCACTGGCACTTGGCTGTCATGGCATATTGTATTTATTTCATATTATATTTCTTTTAGTAAGTAGGAGTTTTTTAAGACAGAAGAATACTGACTGTGACCACCACCAACAAAAAAAACCCAAACCAAAACCCAAAGCACAACTCTGATCCTACAGGTGCCAATGGCAGTTTTGCCCTGAGTTCCCTGGGATTTTGTCCCTGAGAAGGAATGATCTGTGATGCATCTCCTTATTTACCTGCCTGCCCAGATTTCAGTAGAGAAGTGCCACAGTTCCACTCTGTGTCTCTCTTATTAGACTTGATAATGAAAGCTCACACAAGAGCTCTTACTGCTGATTTGTCTTATATTATTTATTTCAGTGACAGGAAGATATGATAATTTTGATATGAATCACTGCTTTTCTTTACTGGCAGACTTTGAAAGGATGAACAAAATAATCCAGTTTATGCTGCTTTTTGACCCCTTTTTTTCTGACTTTCAGCACCCTTATCCTAAAAGAACAATGGACCAGAGTGATACGGTTTATAAAGTCGGCAGTAGCTTCAGAATTGAAAATGTCACCATGCAGGATGGAGGCCTGTATGTATGCAAAACACTCAACGTAACAAGGCTGGAGGCCAATGTCACAGTTACAGTATATGGTAAGTTTTGCAGCTAAACCGGAATACCCAAGAAACAATTTTGTTAAGCTTAAAGGATAATGCCACATTATTAAATCTGTTGATATGCAGATGGCATTAGGAAGAATGCCAACTAGTTAAAACTACCGTTGATCATCTATGACCTCTAATCAATCTATGGGAGAGTCAGCACCCAGCACTATGTTTTCAAAGAAACTTTAGAGAGTTCAAGACTGGGACATTTTGGAGGACATGGATTAACTGGGAGCAGAACTGTTTTGAAAAAACTGGCACCAAGCGTTGCTGATGCCCTGGAAAATCTGGCCTGCTGGCATTCACATGGATGAGAGATACCCCAGGCATTTTCACACATTGCTCCAGGGGCAATGCAGATGCATACTCTCTGCTTTAAATATAAAGTCCTTCATTTGGAGACAGACCTTCCTGGCTGTAGCTGAGCTTTGCAGGGGAACTATGGTAACAGATTGTCATTCCCTTTGGTTGTCTGCAGCTTCTGCAGATCTGTATTGCAAAAAAAACAGGGTAGACACAACACAGTTCAAAGATGTGAGCACCGTACTGTGGCAGATCTGCCATTACTTGTCTTCATGTTCATTTCTCTTTCCAGACAAACCTTTCATTAAGGTTTCACATAAGAAAGGGCCTTACTACGAGGTTACATCAGGACGCAAGTCACTGAAACTAGCTGCAAAGGTGGACGCCTTTCCTCATCCAAACGTCACCTGGTGAGTACCATCATCTTAAGCAAAATCAGGCATATGCGACCTTCTTCTGGGCTCCTGCCTAGAATAGTTTCTCACTGTTCCTTACCACACAGATAGAAGATGAGAGCTGGGAATGCTCATAGCTGTGGTGTCACAGTTCAGAGAAGATGTGACTCCTTTCTGTGCTGACATATGCTCCATGAAGCTGGCAAGACATCCCTCTTTCCCATGCTGTTTTTCTCTCCTAGTTATGCAGAAAAGATCCCTACAGGAAAAAAATGGGGGTTTCACTTACCCTGGACACAGAACAGTTTGGGACATTTAAGTAGAAAGCTATTGGGGAAGGGCTGCCAGTTTAAGACCATTAGTGGTGGTCAGTCTGCAAAGAGGAAGTGCATAATAGAAGGCTGCAGGACACATTCCCAATATGAGACATTGTTTCTCTTCATAACTTTTAAATAATTTCTCCAATTCTGTACCACCAGCAATGTCAGATCCTTGCAGACAATGCAGTGAATCCTCCCAAGCAAACTGAAGGCTCCACCAGAATTGTAACGGATCAGCTTAATAGGAGGAGCAACATGTCAGCAGCTCCTGGAGATGTTAATTTCTCTCTTTACCCTTTCATCTCTTGTCCTCTCTCTTGCTACTTTTTCTATGCTTCATTCTACAGGGGGTCTTTAACAACCCCATCCAACACCTTATACGTCTTTAACTGTAAGAAATCCTGTACGACAGCTGGCACTGGTTTGCCTGTCCTGGCAGAGAAGGTGGCTTGGGTGAGTTAGCACCTGCACAGTGCACTTTTCCTTGGCCAGCTGAGTGCCGCTCAGGGGGGCCTGGCAGCAAAAAGTGTTGGTCAGGAATGGACTTGCTGAATTTATTTAGCAGTGAAATAACATGAAATTCTGTAATATTCAGTCAAATCAGTGGAATCAGTGCTACCAGGAGGTATTTTAATTGTTGCTGCTATTTAGAAGATGGAAATGTTTTTGTGAATTGAAGTGGGGACCATCCCCCTTTTCTCTGCCAAGGCTTTGTTCTCGGGGCTCAGCATGGAGCTGCTTGGTAGCTGCCTGGGACCACCAGAGCTGCCTTCCCTGCATGTTCGAAGCTACAGCTGTTGATGTTGGAGGTCTCTCAGTACAGTTGTTTAAATGACTGTAAAGGAGGTTTCCAGCATTCTCAGGCAGTAGGACACATGACCCAGCTTCTCCTTCCACCAAGCCTAAAGCTCTGTGTGTGGCAAAGTCTGGCCTATTTCATAATCATAACCCAAATCTGCATATCGGATTAGCAGTGAAGAGGAGTCTGCTCATGCAGCATCTGCAATCCTACTCTTTAGCTAGTGAAGGTCCAAGGTTGTGAATTCCTCACTGACCTTCCTATCAACTGTAAATTCTTCAGGTCACAGACTTTAACTTTTTCAGAAACAGTAAAGGGTCATATATACATATTGAAAGACAATTCTGCATAATTATTATTATAAAACTGATAACATACATTTTGGCTAACCTGTGATTTTCTGCATTTAGTATTGCACATGCAGCATAATTTTGGGGGCATCTAGATGTACATTTCTGATGTACATGAGTTGAGTATGTGAGAGGCATTGTCCATCAGATCCATTAAAATACCTTTTTCTTGTTTGTTGGATGAAGCCATCCCAAGAACTGCAGATGCTACTCAGTTTTAGTGTGGAAGGATAAAAGGACTGTGTTTCCCTTGCTGTTTCCAAAGCTCTTTATCCACCCTAATATGCATAACAGTTAGGTTTTCTGAGGGCTAACATGCATGCATGCACATGATGAACCTTGATGGGACTTTCAAAACAGGTACAGAGATGGCAAACTGATCAAGGATAACCACACTTGCTATGAGCTAGATCCAGTGAAGTACAGACTGGGCATAAGAGATGTGAGACCAAAGCATGCTGGAAACTACACCATCGTCTTGAGCAATGAAATACATGGCCTGTATAAGAACCTCACCATGCAGCTGGTAGTGAGAGGTAAGGACTTGATGTTTATGACTTCTACTGGGTTCTTTCTCATTTTCTGTGTGATCCTACTTCACCAGTTAGCAGGAATGGGTGACATCTCCCCATGTTTAGCTGATAAGAGCTGATACAGCACTCCACATAGATTACCACCTTACTTAGGAACAACTGAAGGTCCACCTCATTTCACCACATTAAATCAAAGCAATAGAATGAAGAGCTGGTGTGAAGAGTTAGTCTGAAACTAGGTCATCTAAAGTCACTTTCCAATGAGATGTTGCACCTTGGAAATAGCCTGCAGGACCTTTGTGTCAGGACAGTGTCTCCACAGAGGGAAGCAGAAATGGCTTGAAAGTGAACAAACTTAACAGGACTTAAATTTTACTGGAAGTTTGGGAGCATATCTAGTAGTGAGGTCTTAGAGCTAGGGGCACAGTTTCCCAAGAGAAGTGATGGAAGTTTTATCCCTTGAGATTAAAAACTAGCTTGGGCAAAGCACTAGAGAACATCTGTTGGGACAGGAAAAGTCCCAATAGGGATGTTGGAAGGAACTAGATAAGCTGCCCTGTGCTTTATGTCTCTCCATCGTCCTGCTAAAAAATACTTTAGCAGTGTGTATTTTATGTGTTCTCATTTATCTGCTGGGAGCACTTGAGAGACAGGTTCATTTTCAGGGGAATCTGGAGAAAACGGAAGTAAATGCTGGTATGCACTGAAGCAGGTTCACTTGATATAGAGGGAAAATAGGTATTGGAATCACATTTATTAATATCTCTTGCTGGGATAATGGAAGACAGAGCCACATTGTCTCTTTGCACATCCATTGCCTCTTTTAATCCATTGAATTTGGCAACCGAGATTGAATCATGATGCCAAGTAGGAGTTCAGCAAAAGTTAGTTCTGCTTCCCTTTGTATATCTTGAGGTTCACTCAGTCAGTGAGATAGATAAAATGATTAAAATAGGTTTGCTTTCTTTTCTGTGGTGAATTTTTTTCTCCTGATCCTCTTTACACTTAAAAAAATTCTCACTTGTCCTGTTTTGTATACTTATGTACTGCTGCACCATGTAACATCCAGCACTTGTGTTTTTCTCATGTCACCTTTCACCTTTCAGAAAGGAATAATGCCTAACAAATGGAGAACTTGTCACTTAGGCATATGTGGCCTATTAAAAAGGCTAAATAAGGTACCTTAATACCACCTTAAACATTACATAAACTAATGTGTGATTTAGGAGTAAAGAGAGCTAAAAACATGCTTATGGTCAGGTACTGCAGCTCAGCTGACAAGGAGAAATGTTTTAAACTGTGGTAATCTGTTCACTTGAGATTGTTTATCCATACAATGGTTGTGCCCTCTTGTTAAAAGAACAGAAACATTCAAAGGAAGAGAAAATTAAGAATGATAATAAACTATCTTGTCAAGGTAAATATTGGTGTTTGCATGCAAAAGAGAATGTTTACTTGAAAAGCAGCCATTCCCCAAATAGGCATATAAAAAACAAACAGACTTTGTTTGTATCAGCAAGATGCTATTTCAGGATTAAACCATCCCATGCTCTCAACTACAGTACAAGCCTTTCATCTTTATTGTATGTACAAGTATGTGGTATTCTGTCTCTCACACACAGTGCATGCCTAGCATGGTGCTCACTGTTAGCTTTTCTGAGAGATCAGCCCAACAAAGGCTTCAATCAGAAATAATTATTTAATTGCAAAACCACCATTTCTCAGGAGTCTGCAAAGTCCAGCAGCTGTAGGAGTGTTACTGACTGGAGAAGGTGTTGCATGGTGAAACACAGGAAAAATGAACAGCAAAGTGTTTCTTTTCTGATAAAAGAAAGTCATCCCAGAAATCAGAGCAAGCAAAAGACAGTATCTGCCAAAGACTGCCATTGTTTTCTAGCTAAAGGCTGAAAACAATGAGGATATTTGCCTTGACTGTGAACAGGACTAACACAAGACACCTAGGAAATCTCTCTTGCCTTTGCCAGGCTCTTCTCTACAGCACTTACCTGACATGCTGTAAGTGAAGCACTCAGCCCTAGGAGAGGGTCATTCTGCTGAGATGCATGTGGGTATAGACCAAAAAATGCAAATTTTGCTCTTGAAGCTTATCCAACAGCAGCAAACTGCCTTTTTTTCTTGTGCTTTCAGTTATAGTAGAGGGACTGCTTTTTAAGATCTGGGCATCATTTTCTTTACTTTCAAAAGAAATTCTGAAGCTCCAAACTGAATGCAGATGTGAATTTTTCCCTTAACTCCCCAACAAATAACCTGACACTTTATCTCCAGTCATCATGACTGATACCCTGGTATCGCACCCGAATAGATTAAATTGCTTGGAGTTTCAGCAGACAATTAGACATGGAGAAGAAAACCAAAACACACTTTCTAGCCATTTTATGCAGGGATTACCTTGTCCACAAGTGAAACACAACCACCTCTGAGCTGGGAGGGGTGATTAGTGTCTTTGCTTAGAACCATAGGCTGTCTGCAATTACTGAAGCTGGAATTTGAACACAGGGATTAGCAGATTTGATGGAAAAATCCTCTTCGGCTTGCAAGTGAACACAGTGGTAGGAGCATCAGTTTTGTATCATGTCTAAAATGTGGAGCCTGCAGCAATTCAGTACCCAATAAGCCTCATGCTGAGTATGTAACCATGTACCAGCTCCCTGTTACCCAGCAGTAACATCTCTTTCTGAGTAACAGCATTGCTCCTCAAAAGCCAGGGCCAGTCTTTTAAATTTCAGAGCTGCATCTGTGAAAGTGAGTGAGTTCTGATCTACACTATTAAACAGAAGATGGAAAATTATTTAAATAGACTTCTGAATGAGAAGATAAATGTCATTTGCATATGTTTACTCTTGCTGCAAGGGGACACTGCATTGAAGAAATTATAAGTAAGCATACAGCCCCCTCTCCTGTGAGTCTCTTCAAAATATTACATCATTAATGTTCCTGAGCATCACAGATAGTATAACTGGCAGTCAGCATGCTGTGACAAACCCACCACCTGCAAATTTGAACTAGATGTAGAGGAAGTTTAAAGTTAATAGTGTTGTGAATTGTTCACAAACAAAGTATAAATAGCAGCAGGACTCATTCATCAAATTACACTGTATTAATTTTTGCAGTGTGTTTTATTCAATAATAATGGCAGAAGAAGAGAACCTTTTTAGCAGGATGAGAACAAGATAAGAATTTACCTACTTGATCCCTGCAGGACTGGAGCTTATATGAAGCATATCTCCTGACCTGTAACAGACCAGCACTGCTGCAGGCTTTCCTTGGAGTCACCTCCCGTATACTTAGTTGGTAGCAATCACAGTAGTTCTGACATAAAACATACACTGTATGGGCAAGGTATTCCACTCCATGGTAATTAGTCAAATATTAGATATTCCCCCCCCCAGCTTGATATGGCCATAAAACTGATGAGTATCTGCAGAGTGCAGAGGTATCAGTTGTCTCACCTCCACAGAAGCAGGAAGGAGAAAAATGGGCAAATAGCTCCCAGAGCTGCAGGGTGGGAACTGATAGCAATGTCGGCCCGAGGCAAGGACCGGGTTGACAATATGCAGGAAGGAGCATGCTGCCTGGCCTGGAGGAGAATCACGCTGCTATTCAAAAAATGTCTCTTTAAGAAGTGGCTTAGCTGTGCCTCTGGTCACCCGTGCTCCCACTGCAGCTGGAATTTAATCTTGCAGGAGCACATATCTCCCTTGTGGAGTCACCTTGGCTCATGGTAGGACTCAAGTCCCCAGGAGGTAGCTGATTGCATTTTCAAAACACTCCTTCTTTACATATTTACACATCAAACACTGTCCAAGAAGCGTCGGGTTGCTGTGGTTTTGTTTTGTTTGATTAAATTCTTATTGAGAAAAGCTTCAAGAAAATAATGTCCTGAAGAATTTGGAGGGGAGGGAGCAAGGAGAAGGAACAATCCTAGCAAACAGCTGGTGGCTGCACATCTGAGCCAGCCAAGAAGGAGAAATGTGGGAGAAAAGAGTTATTCCAGGCTGGAGTACAAAGCAGTTTCAGAACAAAACATAAATAAAACCCCTCAAATCTATTTATGGCCAAGCAGGCTGCATTTCATTCTCACCCTTGTACAAGTCATGTATCAGGGTTCTTGCTGAGCCCTTATGGAGCAGTCAGCATGCTCTGACCACCACGTTGTGAGTGAAGATTGAAGCATAAATTAATTCAAAATTAATTCAAAAATGGGATGAATAATCTCCTTCACCACTTTGCCTTTCTTCTTTGTCCTAAAGTTTCTCTCCTGTGCTCTCTCAAGACTCTTACAGTAAATGTTGTTTTGGGTTCCAGCCGCTCTAGTCAATTGAAATTACATTCCCTCATAGGCTCCTTGATCCCCCAAGCTCTTGTGTTGTATCTATTAGAAATGCAGGATTAAGTGCTAGAAATAGCCTCTACCATAAGCAGTAGTAATTCACAGGCTCCCTATGAATTCCCTCTCTCCTGGGCAAGGACTGGAAATAAAGGGGTGCATGGAGAATTCACATGTGCATTGCTATGTGCTCCTTGTTATGTCAGCAAGATGACTGGCTGTACCTATGTTTGTTACTAGGGAGGATTAGCTCCAGAGCACTTAACGATGCATATGTTGCCCTACTCTGTAGTCAGGCCAGCTCTTCATATTTGGTTTAAAATCAAAGGCAAAAGGAGCTCTGTGCCTGACCTACTTTGGCTTGCAAGGGATGAGTTGACATTGAAGGAGGCCCCAGTGATCTCCATAAAAGTTAATAAATATGTGGTGATCATGTTAACAATACCACATCACCTCAACCAGACCCAGAAAGAGTATGAAGAAGGAAATGAGCCTTCAGGATGAGGCGGATATATTTGGGCTGTGCCAGTTCAGAGAAAAAGTGCTCCTAGAGTGATGGATCTCAATTAAAGCCAGTTGAAGACAGAGAGGAGACTCCCACAGTCTGTTGTGCATGGAAGGGCCACTAAAATCTCTAAGCTGGACATGGTTGCAC